GGGGGGGGGAGGCAGGGCTGGGAGGACTCTTCCTTATCACCTTTTTTACAGTCAGGCAGCAGGCCTTGGAACAAAGGTTTCCACAGACAATTCAATCCGTTTAAAGCTTTTAAAAAAATTACCTGTGACTGAATAACTGCATTAGGAAATTCAAACCGCTTCTTGATGTCATCCAACATTTTGGCTCTGTCATATGACACTAACTCTCACTCTGCAAGAGAGATTAAAAAATATACTTAGGACTGGGAAAGAAACCATGCTATTTGCCAGAAGAAAAATACACAAGAGTTATGTTGTACTTAACAGCAGATGTAAGCATTAAAGCATTTTCTTCCCCTCCTAAGTCTACCATATTGCCTTGCTTGATGGTCTTAAACCCAAGAAATGTTGAATACTCATTGGTATTGCACAAAGAATGGGTGATCAACATTCCTTAATGCTGGAGCAAATATACAGTTCCACATGGCACAGCATACGTGTACTCTGAGAACATTTATCCGGGAGAGCATTTTAAGTATATCTCATTGACTTGAAAATGGGACAGCTCAAGAGGACTGTTCACAGTTTCTAAAACATGATTTAAAATGCAAAATTCTCCACAAATTTTTCAATTATTTCATGCAAGAATGGAAGTAAAACAAACAAAAGATCCACACCTGTGAGACTGTAAATGGTAATTATAGTTAGGGGTTCGAACACTTGACAAAAAAACCTTCTCTAAGTTGGAATATGCAGGCACCCACAAGCACATGGGAACCTAAACTGGAGAGACATCAGAACTCAGCTTACCTTGTTGCACACCAATGAAACTGACAGCCAAATGCAAATATTCAAATATTTCAGTTTACTGTAAACACACCTCCAGTCACTTGGGATGGCTTCATTAAAAAAAAAAAAATCACCTAGCACTTGCTGAAAACCTAAGTGTAATCCTTTGCAATAAGCACTGAGAAAACGTACATGCACAGTACTCCAATTTCAAGACATGCTGTTGGTGTGATGCATTCAGAATCTTGCCACTTATTTTCAAAAAGACCTAATTAAACCCTGGAAACATGCAAATGCAGCATGTGCCACAACAAATACCATTCACAGCAGGAAAACTCAAAATTAATAGTTACTACCTCAATGAATATAAATTCCTGGCAGTTAAAATATTCAGCAAAATATGTGAATTACATTTCTGAAAGTTTAGGAGGGGGGAAAAAAAAAAATGTTAACCGCACTCAGAATTATGCCAGTATGGGTTTGTATTGTTTTAGAATAGATTTAACTGCATTTTGAGACAATAGGTGTCCATATAATGAACACACATTAAACTAGAGTTGACATCTTGCTTTTTTTTTTAAAGAAATATGATCACTACAGCAAACAATTCCAGACATACTTAGATCTGCTGAGCATGTCTAAATTCCAGTGGATCTAGATGCATTCAACCTATTTGTATATACCAACTGAGACACAAAAAACAACCCCCTCCAGTTCTACCTAAGAAGAAGCAAAATGATGGAAGGTTCCTTCCTGGGTAGTTTTGACACAAACACACCGGAATTATACGCTGTCTGCCACCAGTTAATTTTTATTATTCATATTAAAAGAAGAAACTACAGTAGAGGATCATGAGAAGCACAGTACGCTTTCAATGGAAGCACAAATCAGTTATTCCAGGCAGACCAGAAGTCTGTTGCCGCCCCCATCAGAAACAATTCCTCGATTTCAATCAATCTACACTAAACATCTACAAGATATTTACAATGCAACACCTATATCAATGCAATTTAATGAACTGAAATACCATCTAAACAATTCTTCAGTCTTCGGCATTCACCCTCAGCAAAGGCACTTGCATATGCACATGGAATGCCTGGAAATTTTACAGGATCACTGGATTATCAAAGCTGGCAGAGACCTAAGGATGCCTCTAGTTCAACCTCCTGTTCAAAGGAAGTTTAGCCATGGTGTCAGACCAGGTTGCTCAGGGCTTTGTCCCATCAGGGCTTGAAAACCTCCAAAATCAGAGAAGGCACCACCTTACTGAGCTGTCCTGATTGATAGAAGCTTTCTCTTCATCACTAGCCCAAGCTTTTTTGCCATAGACTGCTGTGAAAAGCCTCACTGCGTCTTCTTCACTCCCCTCCCATCGGTGCCAGGGCTGCTGTTGGGTACCCCCGAAGCTGTCCCTGCACCCAGCTGAACCAGCCCCAGTCCCACAGCCTCTCCTCACAGGGCAAGGGCAGCAGCTCCACTGTCTCAATGGTCTCTCCTGAATTCATTCCTTCTGGTCAGTGCCCTTCCCTTACTGGCATCCAAAACTGGACATGTCGATATGAGGTCTAATGAGTGCTGAGCAGAGGGGGATAAATCCCACCCTAACCTGGCTCCCCAGGCTGTGCCCTGCTCACACTGCCTGGGGCACTGCCTGCCAGGGCCCACGGCCATCTCCACAGAACTGCTCCACAGCCAGCCCATCCCCAGCCTGTACTGTAAGGGCTGAGGCAAGACAAGACATTTGTCATTGTTGAAATTCCTGAGGTTCCCATCAGCCTGTTCCTCTAGTCTCTCCAGAGGGCAGCTCTGCCAGTGGGCAAACATCCTACCTTTGACACAAGAACACTGTGGGATACAGTGTTGAAAGCCTTGCTCAAGTTGACGTAAATGACATCTACAAATACAGTTATTTTATCCTTTAGTAAAGGCACTCAGGTGCGTCAGGCATAGTTTTTCCTTGGTAAATCCATACCCATGTTTACTCTTCCCAATAAGAATCACTGAATCAGGGTTTAGGTTGGAACAAAGATCTCCAGAGGTCATCTAGCCCAATCCCCTCATCAGAACTGGTCTGATAAGATCAGCTTGCTCTATCCCAAGTTCACACATATCCTGAAAACCTCCAAAGATGGAGTCTCCCTGGGCAAGTTGCTCCAATACTCAACAACCCTCATGGTAAAAAAAAAAAAAACCACAGCTTTTTCCTAATACCTAACAGGAATTTTGGTTTGTATATAATGTAATTTTTGTCTGTATATAGCCAGCTTGTGCCTGTTGCGTCTCATCCTATTGCTGTGCACCTCTGAGAATAGTCTGGTTCCATCTTTTCTGCATCCTCCCACCAGGTAGTTGCAAACGGCAATAACGTCTCTCCTTTGCCTTCCCCTCTTCAAACTGAACAGGCACAGCTCTCAGCCTCCCCTTGTACATTTTGTGCTCCAGACCCCTGACCATCTTGATGGCCCCTACCGGACTTGCTCCAGTGTCCTTCTTGTACTGGGGAGCCCAAATTCTGGATGTAGCACTCCAGATGCTACCTCACAAGTGCCACAGAGAGAGGAACAATCATGGTCACAGGTGTCACATTCTTACTAATACAGCCCAAAATGCAGCTGGCCTTCCTTGCTGCCACACTGCACTGCTGACTCAGGTTCATCTTGGCGTCTACCAGGACACCCCGTCACGGCCTTTTCTGTAGACCTGCTTCCTAGAGAGTCAGCCCCTGCCTGTATTGGTGCATGGGATTATTTCATTCCAGATGCAAGACCCTGCATTGCTCCATGTTGAATTGCAAGAAGTTCCCATCAGACCATTTCTCCATACTGTCTAGGTCCACCTGAAGAGCACCCTACTTGCCAGTGCTTTGAATGCTCTCTGCAATTTGGGGTCAGCCACAAATTTGCTGAGTGCCCTCCATCTCATCAACCAAGTCATTAATGAAGGCACTATGCAGTGTTGCGCCCACTACTGATGCCTGCTGGACACGATTACTTGCCAGTCTGAAAGACTTTGCACCACTGATCACCACCCTTTGAGCCCAACCATCCAGCCAGTTTTCCACTGACTATACTGTCCACTTACCCAGGCCATATTTCACCAGTTTGGTGATAGGGAGACAACGGAAGACTGTATCGAAGGTCTTGGTAAAGTATACAACATCCACTGCCCTCCTCTTGTTCACAGCACAAGTAACCTCATTATAGAAAGCAATGAGGTTGGTCAGGCAGGCATGACTTGCCCTTGGTAAATCCACACTGACTGCTCCTAGTCACACCCTGTTCTTCTTGCATTTAAAAATGGCTTCTACAATGACGTGTTCCCCAACCTTCCCAGGGGCTGAAGTGATACTGACTGGCTTGTAGTTGACTGGATCCTCCTCTTTCTCATGACCAGAAATGTGCTGCAAGAGGATGCACTCCATGATCTTCCCACAGACTGAAGTAAGGTTCACACGCTTGTTGTACTCCACACTGACCTTTTTGCCTTTTTCGAAAAATGGGTCAATGTTTGCCTTTCCGCAGTCATTGCAGGTCTCCATGACCTTATGAAGATTAACAGAGAGCAACCTCACAAGGGCATTGGCCAGCTCTCTTAGCACCATGAAAATGTCCTACTTTTCTTTGTCCAATATTTTACTATTAATGTAACAGTAGAAGCTCCTCTTGTTGCCATTGACATCCCTTGCAAATTTCAATTTGCACTGAGCTTAAGTTTTTCTAACACCATCTCTGTATGCCCAAGCAATGTTTCTAAACTGACACTCTGTAGACTGCTCCTACTTCTGCCTCCCGTATGCTGCCAATTTTGCACCGGAGCACACTGTTTAGTCTCCCAATACATCTAGTTGGTTTCCTGAGTATTGGGGTGGTCTTTTCTTGCACCTTATTCTGTGCTTGTAGCTCTGCCAGCTTTCCTGAGCTCCTTCACCCTTCAAAGTTACCTCTTATAGGGTCCTACCAAAGCGTCCCCTGAATAAGTCAAAGTCTGCTCTCCTGAAGTTCAGGGTCTGTACTCTGCTACTGGCCTTCCTCATCCCACTCTTTCTGGGCTTCAGCCACTTACAACCAAAGGTACCACAAGGAAATAAAATCTCACTGTAGAAAGAGGGAGAAAGCTGCATCCTCAGTTGAACAGACACTTGCATAGTTTCTGATCTGAACTTTAGAATTGGGAACCAAATGAATCAAAAATAAAGATGCCACCCTGCACACTGCTGCAAAGCTTAGATGGCAATGCAATTGCAAAACATTGAGAAAAATGCAGGAATCCACTGCATCCAACTCTAATGGCATTTTTTGAAGAGCACATTAAAAACACATAGTATTGGAAACCTGACAAGCTAGAAGTCCAACATCACCACCCTTAACTACAAAAAAAGAACTTCAAGCATCAAAATTACATCATCATTCAACAAAGCACTTCTGTCCATACTAAAGGAGTCTGCTGAGTGGGCATGGATTTGCCTACGTGCTTAATACTAAGCAAGAAGGGTTCTCTTTCTTTAGAAATTACATAAAAGAATTAGAAGCTATAAGATATAGGTAGGCTAAAACATTTAATGCTTAAGTATTGTGAAGAGAAAAAAAATAATAATGCTTACTTTTATACATCGTTTTATTAGCTATCTCCCACATGGATTTTGCACAGGTACAAAGAGCAGAAAGTTTTTTACCTCGAATACATACTTAATAGAATATCTCTTCTTAGCTAGGCTGCTGATTGCTATTATTTCACACTAGTAAAACACAAACATTAAATGCTATTTTATAGGTCTCCTAATCTATGCATATGATTTCATAGTTATTCTTCTGTGCAAAAATAAGTCTTCTTTCTCACTACACATTATTCAGAACACTTACTTTCTCTCTGCTGACTTTGCACCCCCAAAGAAACAGATCATGGAAGATGATTACTGGCAGTGTTGTCAGAGTACCATTAACATTTCATCCTTCTGAGAAGAGGCAAAAAGTTCACAGACAACA